CTAGCTACTAGCTACTAGTTACTAACTACTACCTACCAAATACTAGCTACTAACACCAACTACTAAAAATAACTACTAACTACTAAATACTAACTATTACCTACTAACCACTAGCTACTAACTACCAACTACTAACCACTAACGACTAACTACTAAGTACTAACTACTAACTACCAACTACTAACTACTAACTACTAGCTACTAGCTACTAACTGCTACTACCACCACCACCAAAACGAATCGACCTTGGACTATTGCTGCAACGAGCCCCGGACTTGAAGACCCAAAGCTTGAATCAGAACTTCTCACGCCCTTGGACTAAGGATTAATGGGTCCCCGCAGCCTGGATTCTTGATAAATGCGGGGACTCAACAATCTAGAGTTGTACACTCAACTTCTCAGCGGACTAATGGGAGGCGTGATGCATGAATCGCGCACCCTGGACTAGTGACTATTGTTACGACAGACCTTGTAGCGACAGGTTCGAAATCATTGAAATACTTGCTTCTTCGAAAATCTTCGATTCCAAAACAACCATCAACAGATCATCAACCTGGCACTTGTCCCAGACCAGTTCGATGATTATCCTGATACCCATGCTTGCAGATTTGGCGAAGTTTGTTTGATCATTTGGCTAATTTTCGAAGATTTCCCAGAAAGCGGCTCTCACGCGCTGGTCCTGAGCCTTCCTGCAGGGGTGCTCGAGCCAGGATACCTTCTTCCCACATGCTAGAAATGCTGGAAGGCAGTGTCAAGCATGTCAAGCTGTGGAAGGACCAGCGACCACTGACGATAAGCAGCACCCATACCTCCTCAGTGCAGCTCCGAACCACAGCTTCCACTTGCGAAAATAAAGTTTCACCAACAGAAACCTTGTTACGACGACTTCTCTGGCAGGGTTTGTGACAGCTCAAGCAACAGGAAAACGAAAGTGAAACTGTTTCGAAATAGCAACAGCAACTTAGCTGGCATCAGCAACGTCAGGTCGCAACAAAGACACTGTCACTGTCACTGTCGCTAGGTTGGACCCCACCTCTCTGGATTCGAGGTGTCCCGCTCCGTGCCCGTCTCCACCGCCGCAGCATCCGGACCATGCGGAATGTACCTGGCTTATCACGGGTGGCGTTGCAAGGATCGCAGGGACTTCAGCCTTCTCAGCCTTGCATTACGGAAACGGCAGTAGTCCAAGAGTACCACGAGGAGCGAGAGCACAGCGACCACCTGGCCTTTACCCAGAACCTGATCCTGCATGCCTTCGCACCTGTTGTGAATCGAGGACGCGCCGGGCACAAAGCTGTCCTTCGTTGGACGGCTATTTGAGCACGCATCCAAGTTGAGGTCTGAGGGTCGGTCCCATCGCTACGTACACACCTATACAGGTATCCAGATGTGCACATAAACATATGTACAACTAGACATATAACATACGTATCGTCTACATACACATGACCGGTTCTCGATTTGCTGACCCAGCCCTATTTCATCCCCCGCCCCCAGGTCTACACATGCCGAATCCGCATGACTGCGTGCACTGCTCCTACATGAGTCTTCCAAAACCAACTGTCACGAGGATCCCGTCCCAAGCACCCCCGATCCCTGTGACCCTTGACACTTTCCTACCACGACTCCGTGACAGGACAGGTTCGCGTTCCTGACAGGCCCGATCCCTATGACAGGTGACCCATCGCAAGCATGTCTGTCCCCGGAGCTCAACAAGGACTTTCTTCCGGACATGCCCCCAAAGCAACAACTGTCACGATGATCACGGCCCTGCGACAAGCCCAATAAAGCGATTGTCACCAGCATCGTGGGCAGAACACACCCGGCGACCAAAGCAAGTGTCCATCAGAAGAACGAGCAGCAGAGGAAGAAGAAGGTGATCATAAAGATCATCCTGACCATGAACATGATGCTGGTAATGACATTATATATATATATTATATTTATTTATTTATCTATTTATCTATTTATATTTATACTTGTATTTATATTTATATTTATTCATTTATTCATTCATTCATTCGATCATTCGTTCATTCGTTCTTTCGTTCATTTCATTATTTCATTAATTCAGTCATTCAGTCATTCATTCATTCATTCATTCATTCATTCATGTTCATTTCATTTCATTCCATTCCATCCCATCCCATCCCATTCCATTCCATTCCATCCCATTCCATTCCATCCCATTCCTTCATTCATTCCTTCATTCATTCCTTCATTCATTCCTTCATTAATTCCTTCATTAATTCCTTCATTCATTCCTGTCCTTCCTTCATTGATTCATTCAGTCATTGATTCATTCATTCATTCATTCATTCATTCATTCATTTCATTCATTCATTCATTCATTCATTCATTCATTCATATAAAAAATATATGTGTGTATATATATATATGTGCATGCATCGTAACAAAAACTCACACACCCAAACCGCGAACCACATCAAACACAGGGAGAGGGGGATGTTCAGAGAGTCCACCAACCATTTCGGGGAAGAGGGAGAGGGAGGGCGGGGAGGTACAGAGATCACAGGTTGATCTGTCTGTGTCTGTCAGTCTATCTGTATTTGCTTATGATGTATACTGGGCAACCTTGAGAATGGACAGCGCAGGCAGTGGAGCGATTCAGCAATTATAGCGAGGGACAGGGAGCGACGCGGAGCAATCGCACACCCACGTTGTGTTCACACGGCAACAGCTTAAAAGACCAACAACAGAGATACCATAACAATGTTCGATGAGACAAGGATCACGACCGTTGATGATTGTACTGGCTCCGAGTAGTGCCAGGTGAAGGTACGGAATAAGGTATTGGAGCCGTGCCTGGAAGATGTGCGGAAACCAGGGAATCTTCAGCAAATGAACTCGGACGCTCTTAATCGCAAGACCGAGTACACCGAGTAGTATAGATGCTGCGACTGGCAACTACAGGGTGCTATGCTTAACACTTAAGCTATACTATAGCACACCATGGTATATTATAACATACAATGGTACACTGTAGTATACTACATTACATTATATTCTAATCTAAGATGATATAACCTAGTCAAATCTCGTCTAATCTACTAGACTAGAATATAACCCGTACGATATAATATGATGTATATACTCTAATGCGCCATTCGGGCTGACCGTGAAAAAGCAAAAGCCCCCACTGCCATCTTTGCGAGGCACCGGCTTGGCATCGTAGCTGCCTACAACAGAGCTGGGCTTCGGCTTTCCCAAAAAGGTTTACAAATTTCAGGGTTTAGGGTTTAGGGGTTCAGCGGTTTAGAAGGGGTTTCGGGTTTAGCGGTTGGGATGTAGCGGTTTAAGCGTCTAGGGTTTACAGGTTTAGGGGGGCTTACGGGCTTGGGGTTAAGTCTTCCTTGTGTCCTTTCGTTTCCTTTCGTTGCCGTGAATTCACGAATCGCTTGCAGCGCGCTGAAAGTTTGGAAGCCAGTTCTGGAAGACATCGCCAGACTTGAGACGCCTGACAACACAAAACCTTCGAGCTCTGAACATGAAGAGCGCGGCCTGTAAGCAGGCCCATGAACTCGCTCATGCAGTTTCGATGAAACCTGGCAGAAGCGAGAGGAAAGCTCGCATGTTCAGTGACCTTTTGAATTTCTAGAACCTTCCGAGTGTCAGATTAGCAACAACGGACTTCCGTCTTATATCCTGCATACTGCGTCAACCTGTGTCAGCTAAGTCATCATGCTGTGTTACAGGTGCAGATGTCGCCAATAGCAGGGTATCTGTTAACCCGAAGCTGACCCTCAGCACCTACAACCCTAGAACGCACCAGTCCAAACCAACAGCAGATCGGGCAGTTGCACACCGAGGCTATCGTGGGAAGAAGTACACGGCCGGGTCCCGCGCCAAGGAGGTCGGAAAGTGCCTTCTGCAGGAAGCCACCGGGGCGGGAATATCACAAAGTCCACCTGAAAAGATGTCGCAGTGCTTTTTGACATGAGAAAGTTTCTGAATTTTTCTGGAAACCCAGAAGCTCAAGGACGCTGCCAGTGCTATGTGCCTTTCGTGTCTCGTTGTTTGCTCACCTGGACTTTCCATGCCCGCTGAGGCTTGGGCGTTCGCCAGGCCCGGTGTGGAAGTGTAGGACGACAAAACCTGCACAGCTTTTCTCGCCCCTCTTAACTTCTTTCTGAGGTGCAGTGGCCATCTGCACAAATGCCATTGACGGTTTGCTGGCGCCAGAGAACGAAAACATACAGGCGAGGAGAGGGTGCAGACCAGTTGACTAGCAACACCGACACCGGTACATAGTACAAGAACGAAGCTGCATGGCTAGGGACCAACTGAAGCACTGACCGACCGACTGCAGAACTGACTGATTGACCAACCCCCTCACACATGCTGAAAACAAATTGTAAGCAACGCCCAACCCAAAAGCCGTGCCGTGCCGATGGATGGGTCGGGATGGTCGTAGGTGACCTGTTGGAAGCAGACTGTTTTCATGTACCAGCACGCAAAGCTGCTCGGTGTCTCGCATCGGCATCCGCAGCCCAGCAGCCCTCATGACCCTACAAAGAAGTTCCTCATTTAGTGGAAGTCTCAGAGCTCTGCCGAGTTGACCGCCATAAACAGCCGCATGTCATATTTGCCTGGGCACACAATCAGGCTACTTAGCCACAACACGCATGCCTTGACGTAGTCTGACAAGGCTGCAATATCAGCCAGGCTGCAGGGGACCAAATTCCCATACCACGCAACGACGTCAAGTGGCGAATGTCTACAGGGCAGGTGACTTCAGAAGAAACATGAAGGACCATGCAGTGTCATGCTGCGCCATCTAAATGTGGAAAGCAGGGGATTTTCTTAACTCTCGGTCACAAAGCAGGGTTCAACCAATCGTATACCCCAGCAAGCAAGGCAACTGCAGAAGCAGGGCCAGGCTTGAGGTCCAATGGGAATAACGAACATTATCTTTGGAGCGAGTCAATAATGCTCGTGAATGCTCAACCGGATCCACTAGAAAAGACACCATGAGTCATCACTGGTTCGATCGGGTACGCTCTACCTTTGGCACCGCTGATCGTCGTGCTGAGCTGGGGGACTAGGCGTTCGATCGCCTTTTACACCTTTTCCCTTGCCTTTTCCTTTGTCGGATCCACGCTTGTCGCCTTTGCCCGTCTCTCCCTTGGACTTCCCTTTTCCCTTAGGTCCAAGGCTCTCGCGAACTGACGAGCGATCATCGGTCAAGCTCGATGCAGGTGTAGGACGCACAGGGGAATTCATCGGTCGAGAAAATTTTGGGTGGGTAGTGACAGCTCGTAAGTTATCGTTGGGATGCTCACAACACTGATGCGGTGAATCGAACTGACGCAGGTCCTCCAGGCGATCTATCAGCAGCTTCAGCAGCCGAGATGGGCCTGCCCCCCCAAGTGCGGGACGCCATGGCTCCATCTGGTTGGCCTTCTTAGACGCGGTACGGATGGTAGCTCCAAATCCAGGATTGATCGCTTCAGTGCCTGCACTCGATGAACCCGGTCAATGAGCGTGACCCTGATCTTTTGTCGTAGGCTGGGTTCTCTCAGATCTTGAGGGAGTAGCTGCGACCATCGGCTCGACTTCTGCATTCTCAATGTTTATCGGACGGCTAGGATCTGCGTTGAGCCTAATCAGGGTACCGGCGGCGGACTTGCTGATGATGGGCAGCATTGTTTCATCGTTACCCGCCCGGATCAATCCTGCGATGGTAGTACTCCCCAGATTGGGATCTTCGACGGCTGTTTTCATCCGAAGCAACCTGGGGAGTTTTAACTCATCCGCGTGTGGCGATCCGCTCACCTCGAGCACAGGTCCATCGGCGTGCGCAGGCTCAGGCGGAGGCGGCTCTTCCGCAGGGGGCCCCATGAACTCACGAGAGGACACATACATCCACCCATATGATGGGTGATTGCGATCGCACCCGTTGGATATCCTTTTGTTCTGCCCAGTGCCCGTAAGTCGGTCTTGGCCCAAGCTGACAAAGGGCCCACTATCGAAGTTCATGAGGTTGCGAAAGCGCTTGAAGCTATCGGGGCCAAACCCATATATCGCTCGGATGCCTTCAATCTTGGGCTGTCCGTATCCATTGATCGACGAGTGGAAAAACTCGAAGTGGGTGTTTCGGTCCGTCTCGCAATTTCTCGGTCGCATATCTTATCCGGATTCCCTTTATCGTCCAGTACGGGAGTCTGTGAAAGCTTCTTTCCACCCGTTGCATTCGCATTCACCTTCAGGTATGTGCGCTCGCTCCCCATGAGTCTGGCGATCGTTGGAATCGTGAGAATGGCACTCGAGTCGTGATATGGGTACTCGGGAACACCCGTGTCATTGTCGTTGGCTTGTCCCCGGGTTTTAGCAAGCGCGCGGAGGAACTTGGCGATAAGCATCACAATAGCCTCATCGTGCGGGTATTCTCTGGGCCTCACTCATATATCGCGAGGCGAGAGCATACTACCTTCATCCCTTCAATGGATCGGGGACGACGTACCGTTTCGCAGTGTTCGTACGTCTCTGGGCGCATTATCGTATCCACGCCGTGCTGCGATGTGTTCGCAATCAGGACGCACGTTCCTTCACGCAAGACTCGCAGCTGCTTGGTACTGAAAACTTCCAGCAGTTTGCCAGAGTGCTTGCGCTGCTCATCGCTGGGTGAAGAAGTGTTTTATGAATCAGTCGACCACACATCGCGTGGTCTGGAGCACTTTCATCGACAGTCCCTGGGATATCGAAGGACGTCAGCGCCACAAGCACAGATTGTACGGTGTACTCAATATTCGGAGCAATCGACGCTTGTGAAGTCGGGGGCAACATGCCACCTTCGAGGTGAACAGTGATATCCTCTTTGGCAATGTGAGGAGCATCGATCCGATCAGCCGCCCCGACATCAACCCTCATTGGTGGCTCAGCTGAAAGAGGAGCTGATCGTTTCGGCATCTGCCTGGGGCCTGGGTGGTGGCACACCATGCTCAGGCACCGCCCTGACAGGAGCCTCTGATTCGAAGGCCTCGCCAGCGGGAGCGCTTGGGGGCCTGCTGCAACCGGTGGAGTCCCCATCGTCGTCTTGTAAGAGAACTCCCTTTTCACCCAGCTCCTGCGCCTGTGCTTCATCGTTCGCACTGGTGGCGGGAGCAGCGCCTTCATGCTCGAGGTCCGCTCTCACCTGAGGTTCGTTGACCCAGAGCTCACGTGCCAGCCTGACGTGCTCAGGATTCGTAGTCATACTCATACCCGTTGTCGCGCAGGAACATGTTTCGATTCCTCACCTCCGTAAAGTTCCTATGAAGGGTGTGAAACTGCACGTTCATCGCTCTCTCCATTGCTGCCAACCGAGAATCGCCACTCCTTTCGATCGTTGGAAATGATCTATCCTCAGTAGGGCGAAGGTACTGTAATCGACATAAGGGTGAGTTCCAGGCTCCCTCAGCACAGGTACACTTGGAACTCCGCTGGCAGCAATTGATCGTGCCTGACACAAGCCCTCATCGTGCTGTTGGACACCGGGGCCAGCCGCATAGCCTGTATCACGGCTCTCGGCTGTTGAGCTAGCATGTCGAGCCACTCTTCTTCCGCCGGCGGTGCCGGATCCTCATGCTGGAATCTGGAATGTGATCTGGTTGGACGGAACGGCTCCGACGCCGCGACGGCGTACAGCAAACTGCATGGACTGATAGAAGTTTAGAAGAGTTCGAGCTGGCGGTGAACGATCGGCATTGTGGCCATGGCCGCCATTGCAACGTTGAGGAAGGAGATAAACCCCCCAATCTTGGCCTCAGTCTCCCCCGAACGCCCGTACCCATCGAGCATCCATCGCTGATAGCCTGCTCGGTCCATGAGGCATGCACTATAGTAGCCGGACTGCATCCCGCGAATGAGCTGGCTGTTCGCCTCCATCCGACGCCGTCCTCGAGACAAGCGGTCCTGCACCTGATCGTACGCCGCATCAACAAGCGGGTACAATGTAGCCCGAGAAGCGAAGATCGAGGACTCGATGATGCGCCTAGAGGCCTAGAGATCCTGGGGCAGGAGGAAGACCTTCTGGGCTTGGAACATCTCGATCTCATGATCGCTAATATCGAAGCACTGAGCCCCGTCCGCACGTGAGGGAGTTGATCGTTCAGACTTGTAAGATCTGACCTCACGACGAAGCTCATCGATCGCACGCTCAGTAGTGCCATGACGGCGCGAGAAGCAGGCTTCTGTGAGCAACTCTTGTAGCGAGATCATCGATGAGATCGTCAGTCCGCTTCTTGTGATCGTGAAGGGACCGATTCATCTCAATAGGAACCGCTTCGATGCGAGAGTTCGCATTCCCGCGACCGAAATGGATGGACACCAAACCCGCCACCGCAGGTTAACGGGCCAGAAGCGTCGGAGGGTACAAACCCGGCCTGAGCCGGAGGATGCCCGCAGAGAGCAGCAGGGGGGGGGGGTGAAAGGATGCCCAAGCCTCAATCCGATGGCCCCGTCACCCTGCCCGGACCCAAAGAGGGCCCAGGCGCCCTCGGAATGGACAGAGGACAGGAGTGATAGATATCGGTCGTAGAGGTGTGAATCGCGACGCAGATGCAGCAGAAGCAGCGCTCGCAAGAAGCACGGACAGCAAGAGCGGGAGGCTGCGAAAGGTGCGCGTTACCTGTAATCGCGGCAGCAAGGCAAAGGCGGCGCTTGCGGCGGCGAGGCATTCCGATCGATCTCGGCAGGCGTGGCATGCAAAGGCGGGGCAGCATGGGGCAGCGGCAAGGCTGGCAGGCATGCCAAGGCGAGTCGAGGCGAGCTGCGAGAGCACTATCATCGGGCTCCGCATCGTTTCGAGCAACCGGCGTCACTAGCGAGGAACTGACGGTCAAAGGAACACGGGCAGACCCAATCGGAGTCATCGTCTCTCTGTGGTGCTACTTAGCACAGATCCGAAAGGGGCAAGTGGCGCCGGATATTGGTTGCGTTTCAGAGCTTGTCGGATAGACGACCCGAGTGCAAGGGCGGCAGCAGCAGGCAAAGACACACAATCGGAAGCTAGCGGTCGTACAGCTACGGCTGATAACCTGTGAAGAGCAGAGCACAAAACAGGGCGCAACCAATCGTATACCCAGCAAGCAAGAGAAGCAGGGCAAGGCTTGAGGTCCAATCGGAATATAGCACCGTTAGGTTAACTGCACAGAAACCTTTTGCTGGACGACACTAGAAGTGCGTCTTGAGCAGTCAAGCTGCGGGTGAAACAAAGCTGGGATGAGACGTAACAAGCAACCAAGGAGTACGTGTACACGAGTCGGTGACAAATCACACTAAACAATGCCTGCACCTGCTGCTCCCAACCAACCTGTCGGTGCAGATACTGAAAGGCCTGACCGGAGAACGGTACAGCGAACCCATGAACTTGGAGACCAACTCCTAGGCAGTTCAAGTCAACTCACATGCGATCCGTGCTTTGAACCATTCCCCATCATTCCCCTGTATCTATGACTGTCACGTTTCAGGTACTGCGCACAAACATACGGACGCTCTCCAACCAGAAAGACCACAGAGCTTGGCGGCAGCCAGGGACGTAGTGACGCAGTTGTGCAAGTGCATTGTGGGTTGTGCTTATCATAGGCTGGTTGTCAGCC